TTACCCCTCATATCCTTAGGTTTTAAGGCACGACTCCGCACTTGCCACAGGGTTGGTGTCATAGAAGAGCTGCTCGGATAGAAAGATTATCTATTTGAGTTGAAGGTTAACAAGAGTTGTATTCCCTCTATATACAAACTCTACCTCTTCTTATCCACCATATATGAGAAGGCTGGATACAGAAATTACTGACTAGCAGATCATGATATGGAAACATCTCTGTCGTTCAAGATTCGACGAGTATGAATCAAGCCCAATACTTGAATAGGTGCCTTTAGACATAATACTCTCCCATCTCTTTTCTTCAAGTACAGTCCGCTGGATTGAATGATTTGGGAGTGGAGACTGGCAAGTATGAATGACTTTCAAAAACGATCCATAATCTATCATTCACTCAAAACTCAAAGCAAATAACAGTGAATGAAGTATCAAGCACTCAGCGGACTGTATATAAGCTGTCGTTCCTTCAAGAATATGGCTTCTTCCACACCAGTGGTAAACAGTCAGCAACATGGCCAAATACGCAAATCTGCGCGATAAAGTCTCGTTCCCTGGAGTCCTTGACCTGCCGGATTATCAGATCTATGACCCGGAGCACTATAAACATGTCAGTGACCAGGTGATTGAACCACGAAGGCATTGGTGTCTACTCGCGGGGATTATTAGGATTAATAAAGGCTTTCGACTCAAACTCATGGCTCGCAGTCTCTATAATGAGGAGCCCTTTCATATCGTCTTTCATACTCACGATTTAGGAGACTCGTTTGTGACACCTGACCTGAAGCGCGAACGGACGGTTGCCATCATATATGCTCGAAAGCATATCTCACGCTGGAAGTCAATCGATGTTATTGTGACGGACCATTACTCGACCAAGGTAGGAACAGCCTATGTTGGAATTCCTTCCAGGCGATTTCCTCCCTGCGACAATGTGCTGAAAGGAACCCAGCTCATACCTTTATCCCTGCACGACTTGCTCCGACTCAATGACCAGGTTCAAATATGGCCAAGGAGCTTCGCAAAGCGCAAAAGCTGTCACAGTTGTGGCAAAAAAGCATCGCAGGAGTGTCAACGGTGCGGCATTTCATCGTACCGTAGTGAGGTGAGGACCAATGCAACCGCCTCGTGAGAACTTGCGTAACATTGATTATATCATAGACTTGCCGGATGGACGATCGGAAGAAGGGACATGACAAGTACTGCAAGATCATCCGGGACAGACACTTTCAAGAAATGTAAATGTTGGATTAGCAGCGGTTCAGGAACTTCCTGACGCTTCCCTGCGCAGCCAATGAGCCTGACATATGAATGGCGATGAAGCACAATCCTTCAGAACGCATCACAACACATCGACCCCTAACGGGGGGAAGCATATGTCAGGGGGCTTTGTATACTGAACTCAGTGGTTGTGGTCAAGGTGCAAAGATAACCTAGATACGGCTTCCTGTAAAGGGTTGGCTTGATCGCTATCCACTTGAGAGGCTTTTGTGTACTCAAGATAAATTCTTTAGTCATGCTTAAGGAGACCTATCGACCTAAATTAAAGGACCTGTTGGCTTGAACGTCTCGTCATTATTAAGAATAACCTGCGAAAGGCGGAAAAATGAAGACAAATAGGCGACATCGGCCCGCAGGGAATCCGCTGTAGGGCCAAGCGGGCAGCCGCGGGCCCCCAGACCGAGGTTGGCTGATCGGTCCAATGGCGGGGGGCGCTGGCAATCCCTCCCAAAAGGCTTAAGCTCCCCAGGATCTTCCCCATAACACCACCTTCGTCTATCCGTCGTTTATTCCTTTCTCTTATTTCCCCTCATGTTCATACCGGAAATTTAATTTGGACTGTGAAGATGTTTCGGTCAGTTCCTCGTCGGATTCCTCGACGCCTCCCTACTCTCTCTTCGACTGCCGGCAGTCCCTCCCGTCTCGCCCTGCGTTCATTCACATGCGGTTATCCGCGGATGTCATCATCTCCGCTGCCGACCGTTGAGCCCCCCGTTTCGACGACCTTGCCATCAGACTCATTTCAGTTGCTGTCAACAGCTGAGAAGGCCGGGACTGCGGAGGATGCACTTTATGAGCAACAAATCAAAGATGTAGAGGCATGGTGGAAATCTCCGCGGTTCGAGGGTATCAAGAGACCCTACTCGGCCGCGGACGTTGTCAGCAAACGTGGCACTTTGCAGCAGACATATCCGAGTTCTTTAATGGCTCGTAAGCTGTTCAATCTGCTGAATGAGAGAGCGGCAGAGGGAAAGCCGGTTCATACCAGTATGTAGGACCTTTATCGGGATCCTTGGTCAAGTCTAATGCGTGCAAAGTGGGCGCAATCGATCCCGTACAAATGACACAGCAAGCTCCAAACCAGGAGGTGCTGTATATCTCAGGATGGGCGTGCTCCTCCCTCTTGACTACAACGAATGAGGTTTCTCCGGACTTTGGCGACTACCCGTACAATACCGTCCCCAATCAGGTACAGAGATTGTTCAAGGCGCAACAGATGCATGATCGCAAACAATGGGATGCTAGGCGAAAAATGACCCCGGAACAGCGAAAGTCGACCCCTTATGTTGACTACATGAGACCGATCGTTGCAGATGGCGATACCGGGTGCGCTTCATCACCATGCTGCATTTGATGATCCACATACTGACAACCTCTATTCTACAGACATGGCGGTCTTTCCGCGGTCCTCAAATTGGCCAAGCTTTTCGCGGAGAACGGTGCTGCAGCTGTTCACTTCGAAGATCAGCTGCATGGCGGCAAGAAGTGCGGTCATCTGGCAGGGAAAGTCCTTGTGCCTATTGGAGAACACATCAACCGACTGGTCGCCGCTCGTTTCCAATGGGACATGATGGGAGTCGAGAATCTGGTGATCGCTCGAACAGATTCCGAGAGTGGGAAGTTGATTAGCAGCGCCATCGATGTGCGTGATCACGAGTTCATCCTCGGTGTTGCGGAGGAGGTCGAGCCTTTGGCTGAGACCCTACAAGCAATGGAGCGCGAAGGTGCTGCTCCTGCAGAGGTCGACGCATTTGAGCTGGAGTGGGTCAAGAAGCACAAGCTTGTCACTTTTGATGAAGGTATATCGATCCTCATTACCTCAGATTTGCAAGATTAGAAGCTAACAATGGGCCAGCTGTCGACGCACATCTCGAAGCCGAAGGAGCGCCCCAGTCTGCCCGTGATGCATACAAGAAGAGGGTTCAAGAGAACCCTGACCTGTCTATCTCGCGTCGCCGAGCTCTGGCGAGCGACTACACAAAGAAACCCGTTGTCTGGTCTTGCGACAGTCCCAGGACCAGGGAGGGATTCTACCACTACCGTGCCGGCTTTCCGGCAGCGACAAAGCGAGCCAAGGAATTTGCCCCTTATGCGGACCTCTTGTGGGTTGAAACTGGCGACCCCAATGTCGAGAATGCTGGAAAACTAGCAAGCGATGTTCGCGCCGCATACCCCGGGAAGAAACTGGTCTATAACCTTAGCCCGTCATTCAACTGGATGGGTCAGGGCTTTGACGAGGCGTCTCTCAAGTCTTTTGTCTGGGATCTCGCCAAGCACGGGTGAGTTGAAGAGCCATAATTTCTTAATGCGCGGCAGAAACTGACAATGATAATAGCTTTGTCCTCCAACTCATCTCCCTTGCCGGTCTGCACAGCAATGCCACAATCACGACCGAACTTTCACGCGCCTTCAAGGACGAGGGAATGCTCGCTTACGTGCGACTGATCCAGTCCCGCGAGAAGGAACTCGGGGTCGAGGTCCTCACCCACCAGAAATGGAGCGGTGCACCATACATGGACGGCATCCTGGGCGCCATCCAGAGCGGCAGTAGCAGCAGCAAGAGCATGGGAGAGGGAAACACTGAGAAGGGTAAGCTGTCCGTCCTCTTCGACTTGCTAGCAATCAATGCTAACTATCCAAATTACAGGCTTCTAAACCAATACCCCGTCATGGCCGGATTACAACAACGCCAAGCGACTTGCTTGACAGATGTAGAGATAAAAATTCCCATAGTTCACCAGAGTTATCTAGAGAGTGCCCTCAATTTCAATGATTATTACCATCATCCGAAATTTTACAGGACACCACGAACCCTTTCACTATTTGGTTTCAATCTATCATCGTAAAGTAAGGTACGAATACATAACCGGTCCTGCCTCAGGCACTATGCCTGTTGACAATTAGAAATAAACCCCAAGGCTGAATTAAGCTCAAAACCAAAAACCGGGCGAGCATGTTTTACTACGTAGTTACGGAGTTAATGGGTCAGGTACCGAGTACCTGGGAGACCATAATGGTTTCAATTATTTCCATTAGTGTACTTCCGTACATCGGTCTAGAACTGGGGTAAAGGAAAGAAATGATACCTGTCAACATCCCACCTCAGGTAAACAGCCTAGTAATTTACTGGGTACCTTACTGACAGGATAGTACATTCAGCACCGTTGATATGCGTATAGTGACTTTTACATAAAGCAACAGTATTTGTGTACTGAAAGTCGTGTCTTAATTTTGGCGTTGTTCCCTGTCCCTGTATATGCAGTCAGGTTTCGGATTGTGTTGACTCCGAAATTCAAGTCTCCCTACGTCACGAAAGAAAATATTGTGCAATATCCAGTTTTAGATGTAAAGATACAGAAAATCCTCGTTTCTCAAGTAAAGGAGAAGGAGACAACAGACGAAATCAACTTGTAACGGTCTGGCAATCTGCGACAGATGAAAAATGGAGACTAGCGTACATGTGGAAGGAAATCAACGAGCGCAAGAAGATACACCAGACAGTAGTGCGGTCGAGATGAGGCAATTCAGGTGCCCATGCCAAAAGAACCCAGCAGGGAATCCATCAACGTGAGGCGAGACACTATCACGTCGGATGAGGATAGTGGACTGGCCTATAGCATTACAAAGGAAAAGAAGATAAACAAGACCGATATTTTCCCATCACCAGAGAAAGAAAAACTACGCTCAATAAACAGACGGAACAGATTTGCTTGAGTTCGGATCTAGTTGACGCGGAATGCATCGAAGATAACTATAGGTCATTAGCATGACTCCGTAAACGACAAAAGTGTCTCGACCAACCTTCATGGCCCCTGCGGCAACCACTGGCAATCCACATGAGAGTGTTCAAGAAAGCATAACGCTCATCTCCAGTTTCCATGGAAAGATTGACGCGATACTTGTAGGTGTTGGGATTGATTGTGTCCGCAATATTAGGGTCGTTGACCTTATCCAGAACGTCTTTGGCACCTGTCAGCCATCCTTCAGTCTTGACAATGATGAAGGCTGGCGGATCATCTGCGGTCTGGAGCACATAGTTCGACCGCATGTTGGTAATAGATTCCTTGGTCACAATCTGCGAGTCCTGTCCACCGGGCTACAAAGAGCATTAGCACTGCTTTGCAACAAAGAAAAAGGAATGCTCACCAAAACAATGCCTTTGCCCCATCGGCCCGCCCATTGACCACCAATAAATGTTACCCAATCTCTCTGACCCCAAATACTCGGACCAACAGCAACTTTCGGGTTCATCTTGATGCTCATACGGAAGTCCAGTTCCAAAGTAGGCGCGGGGATTTGCAGAGACCGAGCGATATCACCTTCAGGAAATGTATGCAACAGGTTATTGGCAGGGATCGAGTCTTTCATGACACTAAGGTAGGTGGGGCATTCCAGGAGGTGCTGGCGCTGTCTGCTGGTGTTCTTCGCGCGAACCTGCTGGCAGTAGATGCATTGCACGGACAGACACTGTCTTAATTAGCATCCATCCATTTTAGTTTAAGTCCGATCAGTCCATTCGCTTACCTTGTCTTCCTCCTTCGCACGAAACTCGACAAATGCAGCATGAACGTCATCTAGAGGAGGAGCCGGGAGATTCGAGGTGGAGGCCTTGGGCTTGGACTTGGGAGTGGCGCGAGGCGGTTGCTGGGAGCTAGTAGCAGAGGCAGGTCCGGTGGGAGGGCCGGGAGTCGGCAATGCGGCGCGTCCTTGCATGTTCTGCAGCGGAGTCTGCATCGAGGTAGCATGTGGGTTGACGCCGTTCGTCATCATCGGCCCGTTGGGAGTCGGAAGTGCACCTGTGCCAGGCCCTGGGCCAGCGCCAGGTGCCGTGGCAGCTGCACCATTCGGAGTTGCAGGGTATCCATTTGCAGCACTGATGCCGTTGGGCGCAGATTGTGCTGTCTGATTCTGACCGCGAAGTCCGGGACACTCGAGCAGGTGCTGCTTCTGGCGCGATGTATTCTTTGCGCGAATTTGCTGGCAATAGATACACTGGACTGAAAGACACTGCAGAACAACCAAGCAAACAAGGTGTTTTGTTAGTGACGACAGTGAAGCGGGTGGTTGAAATATTACGGGAAATACAAGTCACGCACCTTATCGTCTTCCTTGGCGCGGAACTCGACGAACGCCGCGTGAACTTCCTGATCGACGGTACGACCCATGTTCAAGGTGAAATAAAGGGGGAAACTTGATGAAACCCAGAATTACAGAGACAGCAAGAGATGACCAAAGATGAAGAATAGGTCTCAGCTGATGGTAAGGGGGGGAAGTCGTCGGAGCTGAGAGGGAGCAGACTCGGGGTGAGCGAGGGAGAAAAGGAAAGAGTTTCGGTTTGACAGGCAGAACACGAGACGAGACGAGACGGGGACAAGACAAGACGGTGGCGGTTAACTTACGCGAGCTCGTCAGGACAGAACCTTACCTCAAGCGTAATTTTCATACTGGCCCAGAAGTGACTGCCAATCATTACTCAACAATGGTCGGTCATCTTACACTCGTAAATACTCCTAATAATTCGTCTGACACTTCCCTATGCTTATTATTCGAGCCTCATGGTAGCCAATTCTCTTCGATCTTTTTGTTGCTCGTATCGTTGCCTGATGGGCGCTCCTGGCACATTTGGAGCCTTCAGAGCTGAAAGTCTAAAACTGTCACGCGGTCGAATCATCAAGCCGTAGAAATGAGGTAGTGGAAGGCAACGCTATTTTCCTTGGTCGCTTTCTGGCCATTTATTATGACTTCTCTGATTGTAATATCCAGAACGATTATCAAATACGATTTCATATTCCATATTGCTGCTCTAATAGTATTCTAGACAGGTCGAGTAACAAAAGGTTGGTAACCAGTATGGAATTCTGTACTGCCATAATACTGCGTATCAGGACTGTAGCTAGAATCTCGTGTTCCGTAACGCGGGTCTCTCCTAGCAATAATCATGGCCGTGGCTACGCATATATTCCCCATGTACCACGACTCTATTTAATCATGCCAGCTCGATCGAGGGAAGATAAAGTGGATATGAATTGAGCCAAATTTTGAAGTGATATTTGGACCAGTCCTCCACTGAAAGCCGTTGCACACCACCATCTCACTCGCGCATTGCCTCGGAGTAGGAGGGGTCGAGAGCCTTAAGAGAACAATGCTATACCTCGTAGGGTCTCAAGTCATAAAGCTCTTCACTGGACATTGAAAGCGTGAAGATTGAGCGGACTGATGCGCGTCCTGGCGATCTGTTGATGATGTATTGCCAATACTGAACACATCCAATACGTAGTTGGTATGCAGGCTTGAAACATGCCAGGTGTTTTTACAGCCTGAAAATACCTGTGACGCTACATCTCCGTACCGGTCCTCATCAAGATATATATACTGCCGTATATACGCCATCTAATCAAACGTTCATACTGTAGTAGATGGCACTCCGTAGGGATATTCCTTCCATATGGCGAATTGTTTCAGACGAAAGCGATTAGATTGGTATTCAGTGATCAAATGATGAGTATGAGATTTTTTTATGGAAGGGAAAAATGAAGGCAAAAAATTCGACCGACGCAGGGATCGAACCTGCAATCTTTGCTTTAGGAGAGCAACGCCTTACCATTAGGCCAGCCGGCCAGTAAGTGCGATAGGAAATTCGGCAGTGACCCTATCTAGCTATACTTTACTCAAAATGTTACCCTTATGGAAGTGTACTGCACGCACCACCCTCAAGCGTGAACGCGATTAATTAACACCAGTTGGTTATGTTGACGAAGTCCAGCGACTTAGTTGCTTCAATCAGCGATCAATATAGAGCCGTAGGGTGGACGGATTATTTCGATATTCCAGATACTTGCACTGCCGGGTTTACTACTATTTCTAAGTTAACAACTAATTCGAAACGCACTTCAGAAAGCTGCGATTGTGTTCAGGCGAAGATATGCTTTTTGAGGGATATTTCAATAGGTACAAGAGCCTTTGCAGCATTAATTATGGTAACACCAAGGACAATGAGAAAACAGAAGCAAGCAGGAAGAAAGGGAAAGGAAACAGTAATAGTAATCAGAGAAGTAAGAAATGCATTTCCACGAGAATGTGAAGCAAATAGATGGAGTCATTGCATCGCAGATAACAGAATATGAGCCATAATATCAGCCGAAGATTGTAAAATGAAATAGAGAAAGATTTTGGATGTCACTCTTACACGTTGTCGTTGCGATCGATGTCCATGGTAGGAATGCCTACATGTTGGATAAGCGCAAGTATATCTCTCCGAATTTGTAGCGAACACCGTACTCCTCGGTACTCTCATCCTCGTACGGCTCCTGATAAACAGAAAGAAAGCCCTTTGTTGCCAGGGTAAGTATGTGCATCAGGCCATGCGTGGCGACTGTACGAGAGGTAGTTTCGCGAGGCAGGAGCGTCGAAAATGCTACCTCTTTACTATCAGAAACATCAAGACGAAGAAAGCCAGCACCAGTCTCATGAACAGTATCCTGTTCTGCCGAGACTTCAGCGGGCTCCTCAAGTTGCAAGTTGAGAAAGTCAAGAAAGTTTAGGCTTTCCTGGTCCATGCTAGATTTCAACAGCCGGTCACAGAAGGCTGCTCGCTTCCTGTCAGTCTCGTCGTTGGGTTCAGCGTTGGTTCCAACGTCAAGCTCGCTCTGAAGATAGCCAGCTAGATCAATGTCTTCGAGGAAATTCACGTCATCTTCTTGGGTTCCCGGGATTGCAAGGCCCTCCAAGTCGTACTGAAAGCCGCGTCCAGCTAGAGGACTTGCACTTGTTAGGCGACTACGAACTCTGCCTGTTGCTGCAAGTGGAGGCACGAATGCTGCAGAATCGTGAATGCCCCGAGCAGAAAAGTCACTGATGCTGCCAAATCCACGGAAAATGCTTGTTGCAGATAGCCCAAGCCGGGAGCTTCGGACGGACGCTGTGATATTCCAGGGCATTTGGGAGGAGTCATCTCGAAGGCCTGATGAGGCATGACGACCAATCTCTATATCCTAGATGACTGTCAGTATTACATGGCTCATAGGACCAAAAATCAAACAGCGCCAAAAGAGGTGTATCCCACGAACATCCTGTAAGTTGTTATCGTCTTGAAACAGTCCACCTCGGCCGAGTTGTTCCTCGGACTCTTCCCTGCGTCGAACGCGTCGAGTCTCGGAATCGGCATCACTGTCTTCAGTTGTCGAAGGAGAGCCCTTGCGTTTCTTTGATCTTTCGACGATTGTCAGTGATGCGTACAAAGTCTCACCCGAGAAGAAGTGCAAAGGATGCTGGATATGAGAAGTCCCCAACCCAACGCCAACTGAGCCAATTCCGTGGCCGAAGACCCAGAACTCTGCATTCTTCTTAGCCTGGGTAGGCACTCTATTTTTCAGCTTCTGCTTTAGAGCAGCGGCCATATTTTGCACGTATTCATTATTGTATTGAGCTAGTTCAGTGTTTCGCAGCGCAGTTTGAGTATCTGTTGCAACGGCTTTCGGGATTCTTCGAGTTCGACGCATTGGTGCCTCCCGGGTCTCTGAAGCGTTCTCTACGTCTTCCAGGTGTCGTCCTTCAGGACCTTGAGGCATAGATGTGTCTCCGTTGAAAACGGGGTTACTCTGCCTGTGTTCAGTAATTGCTTGCATGCCCTCGTCGGCTAGCATTGGCTGGGGAAATATTGTCAGTAAGAACAACTACCCGTCCTGTGTAAACCGTACCTGATAGTCCCAGGAAATGTCATTCAATTCACCCTCTTTCACCTCACTAGTGACAGGTGCCTCAGGGTCAAGCCAGCCAGAGCTGCGATTTCCAATCTCAGCAGCAGCGTTTAGCCCCCCAAGCTCAATGAGATTTCCATCTTCATCAAAGTCAAAGTCAGGCTGCAGAAGAATGCCCTCTTCATCATTGAGAGCCGTAGCTGCAATCCGCCCAAGTTGAACACTTCTTTGAACAGAGTTCGTCATTTCGCTCTCAGAACCGAACCCATTTATATCTCCCAGGATCAGATCTTGCGACCCAAAGTTAAGCTGCAAACTGGAGTTACGAGAGGCAGCGGTCAGACTTAGATCAGGCGTCATTGGTAATTGAAAGCTGGGTTGCTGGCTTGCTCGATCGTTCTTCGACAAATTCAACCCGAAAAAGTCCAACCCCAACCCTGGTAGATTGTTTTCAGGAAGGAATGACGGGTCATATGGCAAGATGAGCTGCTCAGATCTGAGAAAAGTACTGCATTAGTATACTTTCAAAGACAAAGGTCCAAGATATAATGAGTCGAAAAGTAGAAGACCACGAACCTAGCTTTGCCAGCCGTCGTATCCAACGCTGTGCCGGGAATAGCTCCTAACATTGATCTTAATCTGTCATTCATTGCCTGAACATCTGTGAGTGTATAGCGACACTGTTGATTGTAGACTCTGGCGACTCCGTATCTGCGTAGTCTGCTGTCAATAATCTGGCCTTCAGGTTTGATTCAGATGATGAAGCTCTCACAGTAGGTTCCCCTGGAGTCTCAACGCCATAGGTGCCGCAGGATCCATGATGACCTCGCAAGCTTTCGGGACATCCACGTCCAGTATCGCCTTCTTGTTCAATCTTCTTGTGATGGATCTCGACCCTAGCGTTGCGACCAGCCTGCGAGGGGAACATATCAGTTCACAGCAAGGTACCAAGTTGAGAAAGGATTCATACCATATCGTAGCAACTCCGTGCTCGGGAGATGTAAGTACTAGAGTAAAGGCAAGAGTCAGCGGCGCGGTAGCTTGAAAAGGACCCGGAAGATACAGAGAGCGTCTAGAAATGAGTCAACAGAAAGACAGTACTTACTTTCGTGACTGTAGAACATGATGACGATCCTTCGTGGCCTTGTCTTTTCAGATGTGATTAAGTTGGACTCCTCTCGTCGCGACGCGAGCTGTTCCCTTGCGCGTTGGGCGTGTCTGTTGGTGTCTGAGGTTTTCTGGGATAGATTCTATATTGCAATGAAGATTCAAAGTAATGCTCTAAGTGGTAGGACTCCGAGATTGTGAGCTTTTTAACCCGGAGGTAGCAGCAGAAGTTCTGGGATATTGGACAAGAAGGAGTTGTAGAACTCTGGAGGCTTACTATCACATCTGCAGAGCAGACGGGTGTTTGCTTTCTCAAAGTGTATCAGTCAAGTTCGAATGATGCTCATGCCCTGCGAAAGAAG